GGAAACTTTGCTATTTGCCTGAGAGGACCATTTGGGGAACAAAACTTTGAGAGAAAACAGGATATGGCAGTTAATTTTTTTTTGTGTGTGTTTAAATCTTTTCAATTACTTTAGGGAGCTTGCAGTGAGAAACGTATGTCAGTAGGAGTGTTTTGGAGCCCTGGATGCTACGGGCTTTCTCGCAGCTGGGTAGTACCAGTCCCTTACTGCTGCTCAAGCCTGCATTTCTGATTTTTCTTTTGCATACCATAGTATTAATATAAAGCTCCAGGTGGCACCTGAGTAAATATTTAGGGTGATTCTTCAGTAGAATAGTCCTATCTGGTGAAAGCCTGTTCAGCCAAGGCATTTGACTTTGCCAAATACATGTCTTAGATTTCAGTCAGAAGTGGGAGCTTGTTGAAAACAAGGGGAGACACAGATTGATGCAAGTAGGGCAGTAGAAGAGGGGAGTTATACACTAAAAACTTACGAGCTTGTCTGTTTTCACAGGTCCAGATCCTAAGAGATTTCTTTTCTTTTTCTTAGACACAGGTCATGTACAGATGCAAATCTAGATGGAATAATCTTGCTTATAGATTTTTCTAACCAGGAATGTTTGTAGAACCTGGGGAAATGGAATCTTTTAAATTCTAATCCCAGTAAATAAAATATCTAAGGCAAATTATTCTTGGCAGAGATGCAATTGATTGTAGTGTTAAAAAAACAAATAATGTACCTCACCAGGTTTTGGGAAGTCAATTCATTGAAAGGTTATGATACAAGATGAGAAAATACTAATGGGTGAATGCTCAAAAATGTTTGTTGAGAAGCTATAACCATAAAAATCGTGTTAAGGGTAAGAAATAAATTATTTAGAGCTAACATTGTGTGAACGAGAAGAGGGATGTTTGTGTTTTGCAAGTAGTCCTTCACTTAAAAATCAGATACAAGAGTAGGCAGCAGCTGCAGCATCGATGGGTTACCAAACAGGAAGTTATGAAAAAACCACAATATTTAGGGCTAGAGAAAATGATAAACCTTTATCCCTGTCATATTCTCGGAAATAGCAATTATCTTTTTCAGTTTTGAATCTTTTAATGAGCTACAAACGATTCAATACCCGTGTGTATGTGTGTTCTTTATTGTATTTCTTTCCTGATTGGGCTTCGCTACTAGATTTTGAGACAGGAAGGAAATCTGACAGATATGTACTAAAACACTGTAAAAAGATATCCTTTGCTCATTAAATTCATAAGTAAAACATGCAAACAGAGCATTTTTTAGTTCAGCCAAGTGTATCTAATTTTATAATCTGTGGAATCAAATTTAGTCATGGTTATGAGTTTGCCATCATGATTGGTAGCTGTACCTAAACCAGACATATATTATGCAAGGGATCATTACTGGAAGTATTTAATTCACGTCCTATATTTCCCAGCTAGCAAAGCAGTGGGATTCATTGGAGTGAAATGAAACTGAAACAGAGTATAGGCCTCAAGCCAGGAAAAAGAAAAACAAAAGTCCTGCATGGCTGCAAGCCAGTGCATGCTCTGTTGCGCAGTTGTCAGCCTCCTCCTGTGGCAGTGGCCAAAGAACATTTTTAATTATGATCTCTGGGGTGGGTTTCTAAAGCTTGTGCTGTATAATACTGCTGACACACAACAGCTCTTCCTTTCGCTGTCGTGCATGGTGACCAGGAATTGGCCTTCGCGAGCTCTGTATAGAGAGTCATAGAATTGTTTAGGTTGGAAAAGACCTTTAAGATAGTTTAGTCCAACCGTTAACCTAACACTGCCCTTCTACCACTAAACCATGTCCCTAAGCACCTTGTCTACCTGTCTTTTAAATACCTCCAGGGATAAACCTCATCCTCTCAGCTCCTCCTCGTGAGCTGCTCTGCAGTCGCAGCGGGGCTGGCAGGACGGTGGGACAGGCACCAGTGGCCCACGAGCATTGTTCCAAGGTCCTCCACTGTGGGCTGGCTGGGAATAATAGAAAAGTAGGGGGTTAGGTTCATGTCAGGAGTTTTTCAACATCTCAGTGGGTTTCAATGTACCGTGAAAAGAGAAAATAATGGAAAGTTGAATTTTATAGAAATAAAGTACTGGACACTTACCTAACTGGGTTGGATGGGACTGCTAAATAGTGGAGTATTGTTACTGCCTGTAAAAACAGTTTCTCTCTGACTGCTCCTCTTTCTATGAACATATCGACAATGTCACTAAGTTTCTTTTTTCCCTCCAAAGTGAAGCAAATGATAATATTTTCTGTCTCCTATTTCAGCCTTTTGGAGGACACAGTCTTATTGTTACTCATGTTATTCTTGATTTATATAGTCTGACACACAAGATCTAATTCAGCTGCTAAATCAAGGCTGGTTTACATTCTTGCAAATCACTATAGTTTCTTGCAAAAAGTCTTATGGCCCCATACTAGTACAGGCCAGATTTTGTTCTGCTTGTACTTTAAAAGGATTAGGCTGCTCAAAAGCTCAGGTATTATAAATACCTGGAAAGCACATCTGGAGTCAAGAGTATGCTTTTGACAAGCATCAGGTAAAACAACAAAGCTTTTTAGGGGGGGAAAGCAGAAGAATGATATTTAGAAGGATGAAGTAAAAATACTACACCTGCTCTTCAGGACTCTCATACTATTTTATTTTTTACACTTTCCAGGATGTAAAATTAATTGTTATTACCAGATTCAAAAAAAAAAAAAGGTGGCTTATGCCCAAAGAATTGAAAAATGTCATTTAGGTCAGAAAACGGAATGACTTTCGCAGAGGGAAATTTGTCAGTTGTACATGTGCTGTCTGTAGTTCATCTGACTGCTCTTTGAAACAGCCTCTGCTAGTGTTACAGTATATACCCAGATATGAAGAAAAAAATCATGTTTCCCTTGTGCTTGGAGGCTGGTAAGTTTTTTTTCCTCTGCACCATGTACCAGTTTTATTTCTGTTACAAACTTTTGCTTTTGAATTTGTATGTAAAAAATACAAGGCTGTAGGTATCTCCTCTTGTAAATATACATTTTTATACTCCAGTTTGGAATATGCGATTTGCCAAAAAAATCCCATGACTCTTTTTACAAAGCTCCTAGGAGGCTGTAGTGCATTCATTACACATGGTGAAGTAAATGGCTGTGTTTGAAGCAAAAGGCTGTAAATAAAAAATGCACGCTGAGGGTCAGAAATCTGTGTAGGTTCCTAAACTTACTTATGTCATAAGTTGAATGATTCAGGTTTATGTCAGTGGGCAGGCTACAGCTGTTGTTCTGGAGCTGGCATTTTCTCAGGCTGCCAGAAAGCATCTGCATCACTGGGCATGTTCTGTATATTAGAGCGAGAAGAGCAAGAGCTGCAGGACCTTTACTCTCTGCAGCTGGTCAGAAAGGACAGCTGACTCCCACCAGGAGCAGAGCGTCTCTCTGCAGCCTCCTCCAGCCCTCGCCTCCTCTGAAGCCTCGTAAGAAATTAGTAGGAGTAAGGATGGTCTGGTCTGCAAACAGAGCCCATTGCTAGAAACGGGGTTAGTGGTACCAAAGCAGTAAACTAAAGGTGGTTCAGCTGGGATCCTGGAATCACAGCAGTCTGCATGGAAGTTCTCAGCCTCTGGGAACCAGGCACACAGGTATTTCTTTGTGTCTGTTATGGGTCGGAGCTTTTGGCTTTTTTCCTTTTGATTAGGAAAGTCTGCTGGTCTTTTGCCTTTAGCTAAAGCTGACAGAAAATATTTATAAGCTTTCTATAAACCTGGGACAAAAGGTTTTGAAATTATTGACAAATAGCAGCAGTAATAAGATCATGGACTTGTAATTGGCAGATAAATAGGAATAGCTGTAAGGAGAAATATATTTTAATTTATAGCCATTTGTGCTCGGCAGTGACTTTCAAATAATTGGGTGGGAATATCATTTGTTCCTTTTTACAGGAAAATCTTTATATAGTTCAAGTCAATAAGACTTTTTGCAGAAGGTTCAATAGCAAATGCCATTCGAAAAAACATTTTAAGGTTGAATGTGTGAAGCAACAAGTTAGGGATCTGCTTACAATTTTTCTTCATCTCAGAAATATGTGTCAGAACTCAGTGTAGTAATGATTTTCTATATTTTCCTTATATCATAATTTCAGAGAAAGAAGAAATGCAGTTATTTATAGACTCTTTTTTCATACTTATAAATGTGATCCATACTCCACGTTAAAGGAAATGAAGAGGAACTATATCGGGAAATGTTTGTTAATCATATCAGACGAGATTTATAGGTATGCCTTTAATAGTGGAATGTGACACACCAGCCGGTTGCTAAACTACACTTTAAGTTGTTTTGTGTTAAAGTTACAGTCAAAGTGGCAAATACATGTTTTGTAATTCATTTTTTTTCCACTTTTGCAGTGTTATGCTGAGATGTTTTATTACTAATGACTCCTTTCGGTGGTGGAAATAAAATATGTACCCTCATTTGCTATAGTACTTTCTTCAGATGTAAATGCTATTAAAAATAAATAATACAAAAGATTATATCGTATTTGTATGATCACTAAATACAGCTGCATTTTATTCTGGTTACAATTGGACTGAAAACACTGAATATTACAGAGGCATTTTGAACCAAGATTTTTTTGTTTAATAAGCAGATGGGAAATTGGTACAAGGTCATGGGGAACATAATATCTAATAATGCGTTGTTTAGATACATATTTAGGTAGTTATATAATAACAATATGTTCCAGTTTGTGCAGAAAAAAATTGACACCCCTGTCTATAATCCTATATGTATTTTCTGAACTGTACAGATTTAGCCACGAAGTTGTCATTAACTATTTTAACCTTTACAGTTATTGATACTAAGTAATATTATACCAACTGCATGCCTTAACCAGAAAGCTCTTTGTGCTTCTGCCATCCATCGTGACAGAAACATGAAGGAAAATGAGCCACCGAGAGTTTACAAGTGATTCATTGGTTCCATCAAGGCAATGTATTTTTAAATCATGCTTTCATTTGTCTTTTCCTTGACAGGAGGCATCGTTGATAAGGACCTTCGTCACTACCTCAATTTACGGTTCCAGAAAGGTTCGGTAGACCATGAGCTCCAGCAGATCATAAGAGACAATCTCTACCTCCGCACAGTGCCATGTGAGTAGGGTGGAGATGAACAAATGTTTTCTTAGCGGCAACGCGCTATCCAAATTAGTGCTGCGGAGGCCATTTGCAAGGTGTGAAGAGGTGGACTGTAGATGAAGCAGTCTTCCTGTAAAGAGATTTGTGGTTTGGTTCATGTCTTCCATGTTATTACTGAGAAACTGAACTGTCTAATGCTGAATTAATTTCTGAAACTGCATGGTGTTTTCAAAGTTGTAGTTCTCATCAACTGGGGCTCTGGATTAAATTTTTTTTTTTTCTTCTGCAATTTTAAAAAGAAGAAATTTAAAGAAAAAAGCAGTTTTCTGGGCTGGTTAAATTGATGTCCAACAGACAGCATTTGATCTGCCTCGTATTTCACAGTATTATACCTTTACATAATAATGCCATGGGGTTTAGAACACAATAGGCTGACAGAGGAAACATATAAACTAGGCAATTTTGTTGTTTAGGGCAGCAGGCGTGGCAATGAAAGTTCATGTTGTCTTGCATACGTTTTCTTTTCTTGTCATGTAAGTCAATGGTATCTATATCTGAAATATTCCAAAACTTCTAACATCATTTTTGTAACTATTGACATCATGCACCTATTTCTGCAGCAGACATGAAATTAAGCAGAGTAATATAAGCTGTGACCAACAGTCAGGACCATGCCTTTCAGAACAGATCTACTTGGCTGACAGACAATATATCATTTAAAATGGACTCGAGTTCCATTATTCTTCCCTCATAAAATAATTGCTTAGTAAACAAAAAAATAGAGCTTCTGATTTTGGCAAAAAAAAAAAGGGGGGCACCTTTGAACTTGTAGACTTGACACTGAAATGATAGGCAGAGGAAGGTATACTGAGCAAGTGACTGTGCTATTTATATGGTAATGAGTGGACGCTCCTTGAAAGCTGTGTTGGTTTGAATGCTAAGGTATGTTTTTTCTTTCATTACATTAAAGAACGGAGCTTTGAAAAGCTCCAGCAAAATAAGGCATACAAGCATTTCTCAAAAAATTACCACCTGTATGCAGAAAATCAAAACCATTACATTTATACGAGAGCTATGATAAATTAGGTTTGTCTGAAGATGCCAAGAAACAACACAGCTGATGTGCAAATGCAAGTACAAAGATGTTTTGAGATTAACTCCCACTGCCTAGGACATCTAGGGGGTCATTAGCATATGAGTGCTAATGATGGAGGTCCCGATTAAAATGAAAGCAAGCCCAGATACTGTCTCTCAGCAGTGTGGGTATGATGAGTATGTTTTGGTTTTGGTTTGGTTTTAATCAAGGCAATAATAAAATGTTCTCATTTGTCAAGTGAAATACAGTACTCGCAGAAGAATATTTGTCATTGAAACAGTAGTACTACAACCACAAAGACCACAGTTTGGAAACGCTTAATATTACCTTTCCTTTCTGCTGTAACTGATCCATCTTCTGTGCCATTTCATGTGGTTAGATTCTTAGGTCATTATTCTATTACATACAGAGCAACTTTAAGTAAGTAAGAACCAGATTTTTAAAAATAGTATAGTGCCGCAGATGATAGCCGCTGAATTGCTAGGTAAGCAGGCATGTTCCTGGGTAGAGTGGAAGAATCACTTCAATAGCGGTGGTAGAAAAAATAGAAAAAAAATAGTTCCTGAGTGGCATATTTTCTTTGAAATTTTCTTGACAATTCTATGAAAGTAACCCTCCTAAAATGTGGTTATTATTTTAAAATAAAGACCTTAACACATGCCGACAGGGTGATATGTGGTTAGCTAAAGAAGTTTCCATACTCAGCTAAATGAAAAGGACACCACCGCATACATTGCAATACAGATTTCCCCTCAGTCATAATTGAGGTGAATCTTTCTTAATGCAATTTTATTCTATCTATCTATCTCCAGCATTCATATTTAGGAGGGAAAATGTTCTTAACTGTTTTCTTTTTTTCTTATAACGTAACTAGGTTTTGAATCATGAACTTAACTTTTCAAGGGTGCTGGTATTCAAAATTTTCTGCTTTGTGCAGTTTTGTTTGGTTTTTTTTTTTTTTTTTGAAACTGTATGTAGGCTAAAATTAATGGTTCGTCATCCAAACAGTGTACTTTACAACTGGTAGGGAGATTTCTTTAGTATGCAGTAGTAATATTGACTATACCATTGCTCACAAGTTCACTTAATGAGTACAGACTGACCGTGTACTTATTGCAAATCTTGCAACGGGTGCCAACACAGCAAAAGCAGCACTCGGTTTGGTCAAATTCTTGTGCAGAAAAACAGAGCGAGGAAGCCAACTGAAGGCAATGTAGCCTTTATTTCCAATGACAAGGTTGTAACATAAAGAGGAAAAAATCTGAAAAATAGGTGGCGACCTTTTACCTTTAAAAATGCACCTACAATCTTTCCTCCATTATAGAAGTATAATTGCCAGTGAAACCAGGAGAACCTTTGTAAGAGAGTCCTTGACCTTGAGTTTTTACTGTTCTTTGCTTTTTGTTCAGACTGACAGCACTGGCCCTAGCAGTGCAGTGGGCATGACCACTGCTTTCTCAGCCTTCCAGGTCAGGCTGAGACATCTTTCACTTATGTGAATTGAGCGAGTATTTTCTGTGAAACTAAGAAGCAGACAACTAAATCCATATCTGTTTTAAATCAGGATAAGTCAACTGTAGTTAGAGCAGGTAAGCCAGTATCCACTGGGTAAGAATTTGAGTTGTACATTGTACAAGTGCACATCCCTGTGTGCACCAAAGCATGGATGGGCCAGAAAAGCATGACGTGAGGATAATGGATCAACTCTGCCCCCAGAAACTGTGGGCCCTGTGGATAGGATGAATTGGTTGGGTTTGTGATCCTTGCATTTCTCTATCTTTAATAATGCAGCACCGCTTTCTACCAAATTAGAAATGACCGTGTAACCCTAAGAGTCAAATGCTGCCTTCCATAAGTGGTTGCAGTTCTCAGTGCCATATGAAATTGATTTTCACTGCATTGTCAACAGGAATTACACGCATATATCCCAGGGCAGAACGTGCGATTGTGTTTGCCGCAGTTGAGATGCAGCCGTTAACTAGCTCTGTCCCCAGAGCTGTGTGACAGCAGTAATGGAACTGATACATAAACAAGAAAATGAAGAAAAAGTTCTGTTAATTTAAAGCTGAGTTAGAAAAGCAATAAAGCTTTCAACAGACAAGGTCAAGAAACTGAAACTTTTTTTAAAGATACAGTATTGCAAATAACATAAAAGAAAATAGGCACTCTAGAAAGAGGACTGGGCAGTGGTCTTCTGTCAGGGCACAGGTCTTGTTTTAATGCAAGCAGGAGGACTGGACTTCAAGTGTTGGGAAACCAAAAGTAGTACAGATTAAAAATATGCTGAGCACCTCAGAGAAAAAAAAAAAAAAAAAAAAAAAAAAAAAAAAAAAAGCCAAAATGCAGTTTTGGAGGAAAGAAAGGTTCACAGCTCTCCAAGTTCAGAAGACCTGACTGAAGTTTGTCTCATGCATTTTCTTCCCCTTTTTCTGTTCCATGGGGTTTTAGCATAGTTTTCATACCCTAAACTATCCATTGAGGTTGTCCTACAATACCGAAAAATAGCCATGGTAAGAAGTGGTAGTTGTTAAACACAGGTAAGCAGTATCTGACACACTCTGTCCAAGTCCAGGGATCTAGAGACAGGCCACGAAACAATTCTAGGACTGTGAATGCTATAGGCAGACAATGGGTTAGTTACGCTGCACCTTATGCTTGGTAGTGCTATTGGCAAAATGCTACTGCCGTGTGGGCAAACAGCTTTCCAGAAGAGATAGCTCTAACTTTGTGTCATCACAAGAATAAAGCTTTGGGGAGAGTACGTGACAGGAAACCAGCTTTGGTAGTGACAGTCATGGTCAGACCTGTCTCCTTTGATATGTCCTTCCAAGCAGTTGCAAATGCCATTTAAGAGCTGGCAAAGTAGTGGAGCTGTGGTTGAAAATAGAGTCTGTGTGCATCCTTCCCAGACGGGGACTATGAAGTGATAGTGGAAGACATGATTAAGCAGTACTGGAAAAAGTCAAACAATGACAAGCTGATTCATAGAAGTAAAAAGTAATCTATTAATTTGAAGAGCTTCCCATTGATATCTTCTGGGATATAACCTCAGATTGACAGTAGCTCAGGTGAATTACTCTGTCCCACTGCACTCATTTACACCACTGGAGGATGCAGCCCAGAAGTGCATCCTCCCCTGGCCACGTACCATTAGTGATAATTTAAAATAATTTTAAAAAAAAAAAGTGGTGGTGGGGGGAATTGTCATGGGGATGGGGAAGTTTCCTTCCTAGTGTTTGCATTTAGAAAAAGAACGATGGAAGAAAGGAGAGGAGTGGGTGTGTGGCTCAGGCTTATTGCACTACATAATACAGTACTACTAATAACACAGAAGACTTGGAGGAAGGCTGGTTTATTTAAGACATTTGTCTGCCACATAGGAAAAAAGTCATTATGTGCTATAGTTGCCCACATACAAAATAGTGATAATAATTCCTGTTGTTTAGTTTTCCTATTGGCATTGATTGCTCTGGTTTAGGTGAATATAGGCGACACACTGAACTGCAAATATGAAACCTATGAACACTTAATACTATCCTTTCTTTCTGCTGTGATTTCTTATTTTTATCCATCTTCTGTGAATAATTTGATTCTTGGGTCATTTTGAGTGACTTTAAACAAAGGCCACATTTTCAAACATGGCTTTGTCCTGTTTTAGTATAATATGGTCTATGTATAAATACATTTAACCTACATGATGCAGTATTGTCTGTACACTGTTGAAGTCCTATATTACAAAGTGCTTCTATCTATTGTCTAGTCCTTTTCCCAGAAGAGAAAGTGTATGCAGTGATTTTATTTTTTTCTTATTTTTTGCTGGGCTTGCTTTTGTTTGTCATATATGGCGAAGGTAAGAACCATTAGCTTTTGTTTGTTTGTTTGTGTTTTCAGATACCGAAGTCAATAAAATGTGTTTCTA